CCAAAAAACCCCAAAACCAAAACAAACCCCCCCCCCCCCCCCAAATCCAAAAACAATTGCCCCAGGGAAAAGTCTGCCCAGACAACATCTTTACAGGCATAGAATAAAAGCCGTCTGGCTGATCCATGCAGGGCATTTCATAAATTCTTACAAAGTGAATCACGATTTACTTAGCAGCGTCACTTTCTAGCTAGTTAAAAACCCTTCATAACAGTTCCGTCAGTTCTTTGCTAAACAGAAGAAGTGAGTTCTGAACAAGTTATTTGTTTTATATTTAAATTCCTAAAAATATTTTAGAGATGAATTCATATACCATAAAAACCATACAAGTGTTAAAGCATACAATTCACTGGTCGGTAGTATTTTCACGAGGTCATACACCATGCCCATCTCCTACTCCCACAGTGTGTTAATCTCACCTAAAAGCAGCCACTCCTGGCTCACCTCCTCCGAGGCAACCTCCAATCTGCTTCCTGCGTCTACATTTGCCTGTTCAGGGCATTCACACACATGGACCCTGTGACAGGCTTATGCCACTCAGTGTATTGTTCAGGCCCATCCGTGTGGTTGGCATGTCTGTCGTGTGAGGGCGACATATTTGTTTCCTACCCTAAGATGACCGGCCTTCGCCTCGTGCTCACTCCTTGCTCTCTGAAATCGCAGGTCTGAACAGGGGCGTTTGTGTCTGCGTGCACCACGGCTAGCCCTCCCACGTTTGGCGAGTTCATCCTGGAGTGTGTGCTTTGAGTGGCAAGTTCATGTGTGTGGTGTAGGCCCGTTGCTGTCTGAAGCCGTGCTGACGTGGATACAGCCAGGGCAAGTGTGGGCGCCCTCTCAGCGTGGAGACGGTGCTGGTCACCAGGAGGTACTTTCTCACCTTGAACCCTGGGAAGCCAGGGATGCCGTGCTGGCCAGGGTCTCCTTGGTCACCTTTCTTCCCTGGCTCCCCACTGACACCGGGAAAGCCCTTGGGTCCGGGCAGTCCTGGGAGACCTCCGATGAACTGGTCACCCGCACATTTGCAGTCCCCAGAGTCACCTGTGTGTGGGGGGGCTCGTTAATGTAGGCTTGTCAAAGACAGGGGCAGAGAGGGGAAGGGAAAGGCAACATGGGTCAGATGCT